TATAATGATCCATATTAAGTTATATAAGACCATATTTAAACTTATTAATTCAACTTATCTAAAACTTGTTATAATTTAATTAAATTATATAAATTGGACTTTAATAAGATTTAATAAGGACTTATTAAATAAGTTGTTTTTTAATATAAATTATATAAAAAATTATATACATGTTCGCATTTATTTATAAGGTTATATAAAGACTTTATAAATTCTTTTTTTATATGAATTTTGATGAAATCCTTATAAAGAACTTATAAGACTTTTATTTAGAATATATTAACTTTTTTTTCGCGAGTTAATTATATAAAACGCACAAACTGATTGTCATAAGATTGCACGATCAAAAATAATCATTTCTGGAAGTATTAATGTATTATGTATAATTTCGTGCATTTTATGTAATGTCTATATTTTTATATATTGTTTAACGATTAGATATATTATTATCTATAATTATTATCCGTCCTGTTTTTAATTTTAAATCTTAAAATGCATGAAATTTTTGTCTTACATGATTAGGGCATTGTACTTTTGGAGGCAAAATATCTGAAGTACAAATCAAGTGTAATAGCTACAGCCGGCGATATTCGTTAGTTATGCTATTAACTATTATTACCAAAAGATTTATTGCAAAAGTGTTCATAGTAACTAAATGAATATACTGAAAAAAATATATTAGTTTCAGGTTTTTCATAAGTTATCATATAAATTGCTTTTTTTTCTGTCAGTAGTTTTCATAGCTTAAATATCATTTCTTCTTAATATTTCTTACTCTGTTTTGCGAAGTTATTCGTAGATCGTGCTTTCGTAGTATTCGTTAATATTCTTGACTTTACCAATTAATTTCTGTTTTATATTGTTTTAATCCTCAAATATAAAAAATAGATCAATTAAAGAGATATACAAGACAAGTTAATGTGATCGGCAAATTGTGTAAATAGTAGAGTAGGAGAAACAAATGTATTCCAGCCTGATTCACAAAATCGGGTAAATGATAATGATACCGTCCTGTTCATATATACATACTTACGTATAAAGTTTTTTATGCCGTCCCTTAATATTTAATGCCTCAAGAGTTATACAATTATGTGTATAAATATGTAACTGTTTTGAAACAAACATCAAAGATCTATTTTAATAACATAGCACATAAATATGTATATTACAAAAAAAAATATATATATTAATTAAAGTTTAGATTTTAGTTAGTATAATTAGTTACATGTCATACCGATGCGATTTAAGGGTCTATTTCGGATTTAAAATATTATCTATCGCAAAACGGCACATTTTCATCCATTTGCAGAATTTATTTATTACACGCGATATTGGCACTATTAATAAACTTAACCCTTAAAACGCATCCGTGTAAGGTGAATAATGCCGAGATACCGTCCATGAAGAAGTATGCTTTACAACACAAATAAATATATATATATATATATATATATATATATATATTTAAAGTACTTGAACAACAATTCACTCAAATTGCAAAGAAAATTTTTGCATGATATATATTGTGTATTAGGCGCTTTTTTAATTATTAATTAACAAAATCGACATTTAATACGTTAAATATATATATATTTTAAGTTTTATAACCTTTATACGAATGAATAATAAAAATATGTATATGTATTTTTACATCTTTTAATATGCTTTTCCTTCCCAGTCTTCAATTAATCAGTTTTACTTAAGAAAAATGAAAGTGTGGCGTGTATCTTTGTGTGAAAGCAATTGACTCCATCGCACGACAGATCTCAGATTCGATATCGATCCTCGTCCCACATAACTCAATTTATAAAAAATTAATTTGTGAATAATTTCAGAAATAATAAAATTAATGCATTTTTGATAAATGATTACAGAATCCAAAAAGGTGGGAGAAAAAGAGGATGTAACAAAGTTCCATTGGCCTGTTTTTGAAGCAATCTTTAATATAGCAACATAGTCAGTCTTACAGTAATAAGCCAAAAATACAATCTATATATCAAGCTTGATGGGGAACGGGCGAAGGTATCCTTTTCTTCTTTCGTGAGTATCTTCGGCGAGGCTGGTCGCGACCCAAGAGTCTCACACAGCCGGAAAGGCGCGTCGCTTTCGCCCGGACCCCTTGACAAATTTTACAATTTTACACAATCATAATGTATCACGTTCGCGAAATGTAGGTCCTGCTTTCCATTGATGCGGTTTCGCATAACTAATAAGACGCACGACATTCTTAACTTCTTAACTTCTTTTTCTAGCTTTCTCTCTCTATCGCGCCAAACGGAATGGTCGTAGCCTTGAGAATGAAACTATTTTTCCAATGTCAAAAAATTGTCACCAATGCTTGGAGACTGATTTCCATCGTGTACCCCATACACGAGTAAAAGTAAGCGAAATTTATACGATTCTTATGATGATAATGCAAAATCACGATTTTTTAAATTCTTAAAATTAATACGATTTAACGTGTTTCGTACAATTTTTACCATTTACGCAGATTGTTTCACAATTCAAAAGACTTTGAATTCATTCTGTTCATAAAATTTATTATAAAAGTAGCTTAATCGAACGATCTAAATATGAATGTGCACAGAAATGTGATACACATTAAATATATAGTTTTTTTTTATAAAATATCTAAAAATTTGATTGATAAAAACATTTCAGCAACATGCGTTCACATGGTTTTTATGCTTCTAATTAAAATATTTCCAAAATAACATTTCGCAGTTACAAGACGCGATATGATATCAAAAAGAGAACGGTGCACAATTTTTATTCATTTCTATAGATTCGTTTTAGGTAAAATTTCCAAAATTATGGCGATCAAATATAATGATCAATATAATAAATCAACGTAATGAGCTCTTATTGATTTTTCGTTAAAATCGCGTAAAATATATCTGAAATATTTCATCTCTCTTTCATCAAGGAAAAAATGGCAGAAAATATAAGTTATACTAGATTACTAGCTGTACAGAAAATATTGAATGCGATATATTCAACGTGGTCGTCCTTCAACCAAGAGAGCGCGAAATATCTCTGGAAACGCAATTTTTTGGCAGTTATATATAAACAATTTGGCTGTTTGATTAATATTATCCCGAAATGACATTCCCTCGCGCTAATCAATCTAAGCTTGAAATTTAAAGCCCACGCATCCGATCCCACGTGTAACACCTCGCACAGATTCCGGACTCTTATCCCGACGTTCGGACCTAAGTAAAAAAAAGTAATCAGGGCAGGAGGAAACGATCGATACAAATATATAGATATATTATAATATAATAGAGTTATTTGATGAAACATTTAAAGCCTTACAATAAAATATACAGTATGATGTGTGGTGTCGTCGTATTTCCGTGTGTGAGCGTGTACTCGTGTTCGCCTCATGTGGAATTATTGTGTGTTATCGTTACGTGTTTAAAAGATGTCTCAAAATATGCAGCCACATTTATCATGTTTTTCGCAATTTTTTTCCACACTTTTTTTTTTGTCTTTTTCTTTTTCAGACTGATACGTTTTTCTCGACGAGTAAGGATTAGTATTATGTACCTTTGGACCGAGAGATTCGATACGGCAGTTAATTCTTGGCGCTTACGCTCGTCCTTCCCGAGACGAACTCGAGATCAGAGCGCGAGATATCGTCGACACATACCTTCCCCCTCGTCCACATGACTCTTTCATCTCGTATAGTGATTTGTATAATATAGATATCGGTATACAGAGCTAGTATCAAATCCTAACGAAATCGGCTACATCAAAATTGTTCCAACATTCCGGAGATATGCACACTTTGTTCTGCATCGGCCAGCTTCTCTATCGAGCCGCGTTCCGTCGAGGACACGCCCTCGAGATCTTTTGTTTCGTTTTCTACTTCATTTTTTGCTTTTTTTCGCTTTACCTCCTTGAAACTCACGAGAATCCTTAATCTTTCGTTTATATTACTATAAAACCTTCTCGTTTAACAGATCATCATTAGTAACGCATTCTTTACTGTTTATTCGTACAGAACGGCCTATAATACATCGCATAATATATCACGGCCAGTCGGAAAACTAATTAAAAAATTCAATGGTCGAAGAAAAATTTGCAATGAAGATTTTAATATAATTTATCGGACTGCAGTCACGCGTTTCATGTCCAAGCGACACAATTACATTTACGCGAGCATGTGATAATAATTAAAAAATGAGGCCTTTGCGTACTTTAGACTGTCATTTCTTTTCGTAGAAAAAAAAAGAGCGATATATATTCTACAATGCTAATAATTCATTAAATTACTCTTCATGTACATATGTTAATGCAACGTCATTAAAATGTTTATAAAATTTCATTTAAACGATAAAAAGTTACTCGGAGTCTTTAAAATACATTATCGACTTGTATAATCTGAATAAAAACGACGAGACATGCGTATTGTATGACCACTTATGCTCGGTGGTCCTTTCATTAAAACTGATTCGAAAGTTTCTCTTTCACATAGAAATAGAAATAATAATACGCCAACATTTACTAAGACAATTCTCAAAGCACTTTTGTGCCGAACAATGTCTCTATTAGGCTTTTACAATTTCAAGCCATAATTAGTCAGTCTAATTACATTTTTCGCTTAATTAATTTATGTTAAATATCAGTTAATTCTTATATTCAGATTAGTTATTAAATCTGATCATTATCCAAACTTTGTAGCGCATGATAAACATCAACGAATGCATTTTTTCTTAAACAGTTTTGCATTGCGTCAGATTTTCAAAATTCGAAATATCTCGAAAGCATCTCGTTGATATATCGTTGCAAAGATCAATACATATCAGTGATTTCAAGAAAGATATAGAATCCCGATTATATAGAAAAATACCGATTACAATGAGTTTTCAGGCAGTTATGTCTAGACACTTCAATTTTTTTACTTTTAAATTTTTGCATAGGAAAATGTCAAAGACTATAATTAATTTTACATAAAAACTACAAAGTATGAAAGAGTATGAAAAAAGAGTGTCCAAATTTCAGCGAAATGCCCCATATATATAATGCTAAATATTACTCTTGACTTTCATGACTATATCGTTAAAATTTAAAAGGATATTTCATCGTGACAAAAGCATCACCGATGAATAATAAGGTGGCGTAAAAACATCTTTAATACATAAAATTTACATACGAAAGTAATGCAGCCCCGCGTTTAGCTTTTCTCCACGGAAACTAGCGCAATATGTTATTTTATCCCATTAAATTACAAATAGAGGTAATATTATATTAATGTAAGAGATTGTTAGTATATAGATATCATAATAGCAGCGATAGTATTCAATACAAATAGACAGAGCCAAGTAGATAAATTGTTGGATAATCCACAATTATTAAACTGCTCACTGTTATGTCGTCTTTATGATTGTTTGATAAGTACGGAAAGGTTGTAACCATTTCCTAAAATGACAATAACAAAAAAAGATTCAAGCTGCTTAATAACTATCTAATACCCAACAATTGCTCACTTAACTCCTCGCAAAATTAACCATTTGGTCGGTGTGAAAAAATAAACATAACGTTCTTATATTCTGTAAACTACTGTGGACCGCATCAAGATTGTAATTTCTATTTGGTTGATTCTCTCGTCCTTATGCATTATGATGATTCTCCTTCTCTTATAACTCGTATGAACTCTTAATCTCGGCACAAATGTAAGTAGAATAGATACATGCAGATGATAAAGGGAAGGACACCCATTTCGACGTAAAAAAAAAAGCAGTGTATAGCTTACAGTGCAAGCGATCAATTATTCGCTAAATTAAAAGTTTAAATTCCGTGTCCTACAAGTAACAATTTGAAGAGAGAGATTACCTATTTCCCATTATATTAGATCATATAATGTGAATTACGGTTTACTCTCATTGTGAATCATCTGCATGTAAATTCTACGCGATACCATCCGTGGATTTCTCAAATTTATTCTCTCGGATAACAGCGATGGATCTCTCAGCAATAGTACTTTCCTGGGAATTCTTGATGTTTATGGGTATCATTTCTTTGTTCTTATAGGATTAGTTACTATTGCTAATTCAGCTAGATTCCTTCTCTTTAGAATCTGAAACAGGAAATGCAGGCAAGTCTTTAGATATTTGGGATCCTTCGAGAGATGTATGAAATAATGTAATATTAATTTGTCATATTCTCTATTTTCTTACCGCTATCAGATTTGTCTTCTGAGGTACCGTTTGTCAATTCTGGTTCCTTCTTTTTCTCCCCTTCCTCCGACTCTACGCTAGACGCCTTTTTCTCCTCCTGATTCGCAGCCTTCTTGTCTTTCGCTTTGCCCTTAGCCGGCGTAGCTGGTTTAGGCTTCGGCTCCAGACTCGGATCCAGCACGATCTTACCGATGTTCTTGCGATCGTGCATTTTTTGCATGGCCTCGGGCACATCCTCCAGCGCCCATGTTGAATCCACCGCTGGCTTGATCTTGCCTTCGCTCCATAGCGTGTACACTTGATTCACCGCTCGTCGAACAAACGCGTGACTACCTTGCTGATACATTAAATGGCGTAGATTCAATCCGGACAACGTTTTGTTTTCGTCGAACAGCTTTATGGGCGACACTTTATCGACTTGCCACCACTAAACACATAATAAAATGTGCATTGGTATGACAGAAATATAATCCTAAGAAAGTTATTATTACTCAAAAGAAAATCTTACCACAAAAAATAACAAGACAATTCAAGAAAAATATATCAAAGCTTATAAAATCTAATATTAAAGTATTAAAAGATATTTTATATTGATATACAAAATGCTTTTGTTTGATCGATACGAATGAAAAATTGAATGAATCTAAAAGTCGAGTTACGTACTGATCGTGCTGCAGAAAAGAAGCTTTTAGTTTCCCCGGTGACGACATTGCTGGATCCATAAAGAATGTATTTGCCCATTGGCTTCAAGAGGGCGTAGCCCTTATTACATTCTTCGCCGCATAGACAATCTAAAACGATGTCTACACCTTCCGGGGAGATTCTAAACAAGTACAGACACGTATGAAAGAAATGTACAAAATTCTCTTTAAACCTTTTAATATATGTATATTGATCGTATTTTCAACGGAAAGAAAAAATATAAATATTAATTATGTGCAACATGAACTACATACTTTCTGACTTCGTTACTGTAATCTGCGCCACGTTCCAAAAGATAATCGATAGTTCCGGCATTTTTAAGGGCCTCATGCTTTGATTTGCTGCACACACCGAAGATGGTTACGTCCTTCACGGTTTTCGCGAGCTGTACCACCGCTTGGCCCTAAATTGAATGAAAAACAATGTTTCTCAACGATATGGTCCAATCATCAATTTAACAACATAATAGATCAAAAGTCAGCAAAAGTATATGAAGGAACAGAACAGACAGTTCTCACATTTTTTTTCTTCGCATGCTTCATTAAAAAATACGCGTGAACATATACTTCGTCACCTTCTTTCCCCATAGCCTTTCTTTTTGCACGCTACTTTTTGCCGAGAAAATCCAGTTACGCGTCGAATTGGACGGGCGGCGTCGAGCCGCTACTCGTAACGCTACATCTTAAGAAAGGATGAGATGGGATTAAGAGAGAAGAAAAAAGAACGTACTGGCCGCGTGCACAGCCGTTCGAGATTTTCAACAGAAGCGGCATACATTATTTCCGAGAATCGCGCTCGCTGCTTTCCATTTCTCTCCGCCCCTTGTCGAGAATTCGATACCAGACGACCGAGCCGATGCTAGAGTGCCCCAAGCTCGAAGAAGAGCATAAATGAAAAAAAAAAAGATACAAGTAAAAAGGGGGAGCGGAAGAAAGAAAGAAAGAAAGAGGAAAGGGAGAGAGAGAGAAGAAAGCAAAGGAGACAAAGACAAACAGATCATTTAGAATCTCTAAATAATTATGAAAAATATATTTCAGCTTTTTATAATAATTACATCCCGTTTTCTCGAAGATGTTTGTCACTTCGTTATTGTATTTGCTATAATTTTAAAACTGTTTGCTACGATATAAAACATATATGCGATAAATCTCCCTAAAATATTTTGTATAGCAACGTTGCATCTTCACCGGCGATGCCTCACGAATCTCAGAGAGCGGAAGCTTTCTTCTCGCGTGTAGAAACAATGACTTAATTAATATTAACCGATCCGCGGACTCGAAGAACAATGTCGCCCATCGCTCCTCATTCGTACTCCCCTTCCTCCTTCTTGCTTTCTTGTTCGAGACATCGAGGAGGATGAGAGCCGTATGTATATAGGAACGATAATTCATGCTCAACGACGACAATGGATTTCACATGAGCCAGAGAAACACGAGCACTCTCGCGCCGTGATTTCCGCGTATTAGCCGCAAGAAAAACTGGTCACGTACGACGGAAAAGCTTCAGAAGAGGCCACACTTGGTCTATGAAAAAAATATACCATTATCTGATCACGTCGGAGGACTTTTCCTCTCTTGTGAGTCTTTCAGACGAATCGCGTCATATCTTTCTTCAATGAACAATGTCTGAGTACCGCTCCCGGTACTTTCACGTACCCCTCGCTCGAGACAGATGCATCGAGCACATCGCGTGAATACGGGAATGTCAACAAGAACCGTTTGCCATGCGCTCGTTTCATGAGAATAGCTGATGGATCGCCACTCGATGGCTATTTATAGTACAAGTGAATGGTCGGATCGATTTCAGGAACGACCTTAATTGTCGTTTAATTCTTTATCTTCTCTAACAGCTGGAACTGAAAAGATGAGAAAAAGCCATCTACCATCCATCACGTCCCGTATAATAACATCCATCATATAAAAACATTCCAAAAATTGTAGCCAGCTTCTCGACGTATAAAGTTCGATTTTAATAAAGAAATATATTTTTTTCTCTATATAGTATACGTATTTCTCTTTCTAAGTACATTTCTCGTTCGAGAATATTTTCAAGAATATTTTCGTGAAGCATTTCAAAGCAAAGTAACGGCTGAGAAAGCTGTTTTTATAAAATATCATTAATTACAAGAGGAAAAAGAACGAAGAAGAACCCCCAAGAAATGCAAAAAATCGAAACTCTATTTTGATTCTTAATGTCAACTAATAGTCAAATTTTGAAACAAAAAAATCATCATTTTGACTTATTCTCTCGACTTAGTGTGTTCTTTGGAAAAGAGAACGGATTAGGTCGCCGGGTATACACGTGGCCGGTGTAATGCGGTGCGGTGCGGTGTGGAAGCAGCTTAAAGCCGCGCCACGTGGTAGTAACGTGCCAGTGACGGTGATGGTAGCGGCGGTGGCGACGGTGGTGGTATGGTCTCAGACGGGTGCGGTCCATGACGGTGGTCGATGAGAGAGCGAAAGGTTGCCTGGCAACCCTCACACCCTGTACGATTCGCGCACCGGCATTCCCCGGTAGATTTCGCCTTTCGTCTCAACCGTCGCGTCGGGGGTCGAGAGACGGTTGGCGGGGGTGGCTTGTCGTTGGCTTCGGGTGTAACCTGTTGAGTCGTATTGATCCCGACGGTTCTATCTTCTCCTTCTTATCTCCTTCTTCTGCTTCGCCTTCTCGTTCATCGAGACGAGGAGAGAGGGAGAGGGGGAGAGAGAGAGAGAGAGAGAGAGAGAGAGAGAGAGAGAGAGAGAGAGAGATGTGGGAAAAGAGACAAACCATCTCGCATGGCCAAAGAACCCGGAAATACCCCTTGGTACTTTAACTTTCCCAAATCCCTCTGTCCCCATCACTGTCGACTCGTACGAGCGACCACCATCCGACTACTCGTCGTCGTTTTCGTGAAATTTTGCATTTCATTCGCACCCCGTGCGAGATGTTTAAAATCTTCAAGTTGTAGGCGTAAGATTTAAACTGATCTCCGCGGGTGAGTAAACGAAGCTCGGCAAATTTTATTTCGGTAACTCGTAGAGAGATCCCGCGGGGGAGAAAATTTTATTTCGGTATCCTCGATAGAGGAAAGAGCGTGCAAATATTTATCGTGTAAAAAATCTTGTTTAGGTACTCTATACTACGGCAATTCCTTACGAATAAATTGACGTCCGCCCGTCGAATCCCCATTACCTTTGTGCTAAAGCGCAATGAATTTAAGGAAAAACGTCGTAAGAGTGCCGTGGTCTTTCGCACACATATGCCAGTGCTTCTCGTAAAACCGTTCTAGCAATGTATAAGCAATAATGTTAATGACGCTTGCTTCTTAACTATTTAGATGCCGCGGTCGTAACGCTGCTATAACTTATCGGATTTGTGCTGTTCCGAGTAACGTATACACGCCTCGAAGACGCCTGGCCGTTTACATTTACGAGCGGAACATCTTTGTGTGAGACATTAACTCGCTTATACACGTGATACCACGATAAAGCTGTCTAAACTCACGCGAAAGCACCCCTTCGCAAAGTCGTTATTGTTGGTTGAGCATTTTTGCACGCTAAAACGGAGCTTTCGCTCGTCTACATTCTGTCGCTTTAACGATGAACCGCTGCAAAATTCAAAATAATTATCGTGCCGAGCGTTGTGCCATGAAACTTAATACAATCACGCGCACAATAGAATATTAATTCATACACGGTGAAGATAATATTATAACATCGTGCGCATTCAGTAAAGGAATAGCTTCTACATATCGTATGTTGTTAAAATGTTCGAGCCGCCATACATTTCAACGTGATAATTATAAAATCTCTCAGTATATCCGAAACGAGCGGAATCATTTATGATAATGATTACGATGGGGATATTGAAGTCCAATATGTTACGTACGATCGAATGTCGACGTTATCTTTAATATTGAAACATATCGAGGCATTTATAAGGAAGGAGAAAAAGAAGCAATTAATAAAAAGGAAGAGAGAAAGGTAGACATCGTGTATAATCAACCATTACGATACTTTCGTAAGTACAACACGGCGCGTCGAGTGCACGTCGAGTTGTTGAAGTCATGATAAAGGATATTCGCGAGCATGAACAAGGGGGTGTAATTAAAAAGTCCAATTCATCATCTCTTCCTTCTCATATCTTTCGAGAGGAGTGATACTTCGGCCCGATAGGAAATACAAATATATAAAGACGAATTCTTCTGTTCGACTTACCACACCGCCGCCGGCGCTGTGAAGCAGCAAGCTCTTGCCGGGCGTGAGATGAGCCAGTTCGAAGAGCAGGATGTAAGCTACGGTGTAATTCATGGTGATGGCGGCCGCGTCGAGGTAGCTCATTCCGGGCGGTAGTGCGAAAACGGATGTCGCCGGTACGGCAACCAGCTCCGCCCACGCTTTGTGATCAGGAAGAGCGACCACCCTGTCGCCCACCTATTAAAAGAAAGAAAAAACCATTACGTGCATGTTGCGTCTGTCAAAATGCAGAGCATTTATATCAGTCTACAAGCTCGTTTTAAAAGGCTGTAAGTAAAAAAGCTATAAGAAATTAATTAATCACAAATGTAAGAAAAATAATTAACTGTGATTGATCAATTTCTTTTTTGATTCTTTCGATTTTACAGCTTACGGCTTCTTAAAGCAAGCTGTGGACTTAGATTCATAGGCTTTCTACAATAAGCTATTAGTCACCTCTTATATTATACTACTAGTGGTAAGTCAAAATTATAAGTCATAAATCTTAGAAAACTTACATTCAGAATAAATCATATTGGATATTGTTACGTCATAATATTTTAGCCAATCAAAAAAATGATTCTCAGGGCAAACAACATAGTCTGCATGATTGATCATATAATATATAATAATCCAATTTTTAAGTCGTAAGAAATGGAATTTGGTTATATCTCCAATGCAGTCACTGATTACTATAACTTATTGTTGTCTGATCGACTTAGAACTGAAATCTATAATTTATATTAACAGCTTATTGTAAAAAGTTCAGTAGCTTCTAAACTATTTTTACTTTGAGATGTGAATACTTGAAATACCTACATTCCGAACACAAAGACTGGGAAGCTTCTCTGTCTGAAACTTCTCTCTTAAAGACCGATTTGTAAAAGTATCTTTATTTTCATATACGATATTTTCAGAATTATATCGCGCACGAATTCCTCACGTACTTATCTGATCGTTATTGGATAAGGAAAGTTCAACGATTTTATACTTTGCGTCTTTCTAGAAGGCGGAGCGAGCCCATTTGATCGAATTAGACCTCCCGCTGTAAAGTCTCTTGATAGTCAGGGCGAGGTAGAAACAAACCGAATTACTCTCAACCCGTATGCTCCTTTCCTCCCCTTTACTTTTCTCTCTGACAAGTCGAGGCAGCCTGTTCTACACGCGCTGGCCGGATATCTGACTCTACGCGCTTCGAGAATCTCGCTCGCGCCTTCTGACCCCGAAAAGACTATCGCGAGTCGCGAAAATAGACCACCCTGAGCGCACAAGTCTCTCCATACGACGGCGCCAGCTGACGAAAAACGTGCCTTAAAGAAATTTCGCGGGCTCGAAGCCAGCTTCTCTCCGTAATACGGACAACGTTAAATACGAGAGCATGCCGCCTTGGGTGATATTCGACGTTATTTACGAAGCAACCATTAATACAGCCTCCTGGCGCTTTATCGCGCCAGGGATATGGGAAATTTTTGCGTTCTTTTTTTTCGCCTGACGTAAGGTTTAATAAGCGAAACGACCGCGAGGGGAAAGTAGCCTCTCATTTTATTTATGGCGTTCGTAGTTCAGCCGAGGAAACACGTTTCGAGAGCTTTCAAAATAATTCAACATTGAGCCGCATGTGACGTCAATGCTGAAAATCAATACAGGACTTCTGTTTCGATACTTATATGTAAAAGGTATAAGCTCTAGTCTCGTACGACCAAATCGAATTAACGCGTTACTAAGCTAGTCGTTTAAGGCTTATCGAGCCTCTAGTCTTCGACGAATTCAGGGAGACGATTTTACTCTACTGATACAAAGGGAAGAGACTGCGTCTTGTAATTTAATTACACTTTCGTCTGCAGGTAAAGTTTCCGACACAAATAAGTCTGCATTTCCGTTCGTGCGCATTTCGACATTTAATACCAATAACGTTGGACGCTATTTACAACGCAACTATTAATCTTCTTTGAAAAGAGAACAGAGGAAATGAGCAATATAGTTTCCCTCGCGTTTCATTTTTATTTCTTAATGAAATTCCAAATACACATAGAACTCGAAGAAGCAAACTTGTTTACAATTTAAGTTTGCGCACTCGTAATCAGATTCATTAAAAGTTTCGTGCTTATACTCACTTTGAAATTCTCAACCCCCTCGCCGACTTGCTCAATGTCACCCGCGCATTCTGAGCCCATGATAAACGGGGTCTTTGGGGGCGAGTCGATTGCGCCCTGCCTGGCCATCAAGTCCTGGAAGTTCAATCCACTGAAAAAAATAAAAAGAATTTGTCAAATACACAATATTAAGACTAATAGAGTGTTTATTTAGTTATTATAAATAATAGAGAAATTCTACATTCGGTTAAAGTGGATTTTACAATTGGTCCTAAATGAGCCAATAAATCCTTGGATCAAAATCTAAGAAGCTTATCTGATGGTCCTATTCAAACTCTACAACGTTTGTTGAGATATCTTTTTTTCAAAAATGCATTGTTATCAAGATATTTTGCGTTTAATTGTAAGTTCAAATGGCAAAACATGTACCAATCCAAATCAGATCACGAAATCCATATAGGATTCATAGATTTAATCATCTACCATACAATATCTATCTCAAACGTGATCTTTCGACCGGTAACGTTAATTTTTTTTATATCACTTTCGCTATGTAACACATTTCTTTGTTAGTACTTAAATATTTCTGTTTAGAAATTTATATTTAAGAAATTCGAATTTCAAAAAATCAAGATAAATTATCAAAAATTATAATCAAGAGCAGTTAATTTGTTTCAAATCGCAGCATCCGTGCCATTAGCATAATGGTCATTATAACGTATTAATAACATATGATATGATACTATTCTTCGATTATTACTATCTCGAGATCGTTATCGCCGTCTAGAATTTCGTTCTGATCTTAGTCCTGTGGGACAGACGAACGTGCTCATTTTCAGCAGAATACGGATAATCTCGAGAGGATTAGATCATAAAATCCTATACGTTTACGCCGTGTAGGGATATCGTATATATGTGCTTGCGCTTGAAGCATTGAACAGGGCTGGAATAGAAACCGCTTCGCATAGCAACGAGAACTTGCTCGCGTCTTTTCGCGTAAAATATACGTGTAGTTACCTTCGCCGGTACCTAACAGCCCGACTGACAGGGAGAGGGTACGAAGGCGAAGGCGCCGCGACGCCTAGACCGATGCCTGGCGTCGCACGCAACGCGACCACGGTCGTCGCGGCGACGTTACTCATTGGAATCGAGAAATATTTACCATTGGCGCTCCCGACGAAAAGTTCGATGACATTTCTACGGAAATCGTCGAAGGATTTCGCCAAAATCGTCGGATAAATGGCACTCTGCATGCGTCGATGTATCATCTCGTAGTCTTTTGAAAAGACCTGAATTGTTTGACAAAATGATAACAAAAGGAGAATTGTCTATAGTAGAATAACAAGATAAAATAAAAACAAATATATATAGTAAGGAAAATCTGCGATAAGTTTGAAATTCAGAGGAGGATGTGACAGCAAATTTATATATGCATTTATTCCATTTCGTTTTATTATTTATTTATTCCGAATAATGCGGCTGTCGGAACGCGATCAGCTTGAGAATGCGAATACTCCGTTTTCGATTGCACGGCGCCTCTCGTGAGATATGTCGTAAATTGTTATCAATTTACGCGATACACCATGTAATTTCCTGGAGCACCGAGCACCACGTGATGAATCACCGCGCACTCGATGAAATCTCGTCCAAGGTTGGCGAACGTATATCAGAAGTGCCCACGTGGGAGTTTATCGCTACGCGTATCAGTTTTTTCTATCTCGCTATACGCTCCTTTCCTCTTTCCAGTGCACGTGTATGCATGCACGTATTGTCACGTTGCATATAAATAAAATCAAAAATAAAAAGGAAGTAGAAGAAACTGTCGATATTTCTGTTGACCGACGAAGAGAATGAATCATTCGCGGCGCGCAAACAGGTATAGTTTCAGTCTCCCGGGTTTACTGTACTATAGATGCATTGCAGCTGGTGCCTGTACTGTACGATAGCATACATTTTACCGATAACATAACGAAGGAAGTTTGCGGTCGCGAACGATATACCACATTGGAGAACAAAATTCCCTCATGATTCACGTAACGACTGGATGAACCAACCGCGCACGTTATCCCTTTTCGAATTTCATGGAGTCTATTGCTAACAATGCATGTTTAAATCGTCGCGATTCGTCACAACGTGATAAGATTAATAAATTCTACTATTAAATTCATGATGTCAAAAATTACATCCAATTTGAGTTTTTTAATTATTTCTATAGATTCGCCGTTGCTCCTAACATATCGTTAATTTGACTGAATCGGAGTTAAGCAAAATTTAATTTTAGAAAATAAATTAAATTTATAACTCATTATTTATTATTTACTAAATGCACACTTTAATGTGGACGATGTTTATTTTGAAATTAACTATATAGAAACAGCATCAAATAAATATAGAATTTGATGTACATTTTCGGTATACATAGAGAATAAAGATAACAAAATGTTATTTAATTCAAGAGATAGAGTTACCATTGCTCCATTGATAATAGTGTACCGTCAATGTGCAGTAAATCATAAGAAATTGACCAATCGCATGTGAGGAAAGTAATCGATTATGATTGGTCAATTTTTTACGGCTTACTACCCGACTGTAGAATTTCAGCCTAACGGATTCGAAAGCAACGGAAACCGCCGAACAAAACGTCGGAGCACGTGCAACTCGTGTAATCGCACGTCGCGAACGCAAGTAGCAAGTTTATACGGGGATTATACCTAATGTATCGGTACGCAATAAATCGCATGGATCGAAAAGCGTATATATATACATTTATACGGCGTGTCCAATAACGCGACGGGAGGGGAACAAGGGAGGAACGTAATACGTGGGAACACGCGCGACTTACGCATCATTTGCCGGGATAACCGCGAACGGTACACCGCGCTCCCCACGTCGAAGGACGAATTGAAGCGAAACGAGTCGAAGTACAGCACAATGATTCTATTCCGCGGCTTATTGACAGGTACGGGCGTCCGCGAACGCCAATCCGAAACGCCGCATTGGATTAAGCCGATTCTATTAAATCCCGCCCGCTGACGTGGAGTATTCGCGCGCTGTCCTAGCGGACTTATCCCTCGTGCGGTTGCAGGGCGTGGCGGAAAAATCCACCGTCTAAAATTAGCAATTTTAAATGGCCGTAAAAACTATCCGGGGTCGCGAGGTGCCTCGCTCGCCGGAACGAGGGTGGCGTCGTCGCGATTAATGTACCGAGTCTCTCTGTAGTAAAACACAACGATATAAAGCTACGTGGAACTCCTTTCTCGGCTTTTGCGCGGTTTCAACATGTGCTTTCAGTCCGCGCGGTTCAACGTGTAATTGTTATATGCAAATTGTGACAATCGTGTATATTCTGGTCGCAAAAAAACTTGAAAAAGAACCTCGCTAATTATATGGAAAATTGGGTTCCGCAGAGAAATAAGTCAATTTTCACACACAATGAACAGCTTATAATGCGATGAACAAAAGATGTCATAATAAATCATTTTTAAGTGTGGTGTATCAAAGGTGATACTCCCAGAGCACCAGTTTTTACACTTTTGATATCCACTACTTAAATAATGCATATTATATATAATATTTTTGGTTCACTATATTATAAGCTATGTAAAAATCATCTCATTTCACCAAGACTTTTGAATATAATTTAGTGCGATGTCCTTCAAGGAAAATGATGGGACAAGAATGGGAAAATTACATTTAAAAAAAAATGTGAAAAAACGACAGTTTATTATGTGTATCGTCATTTTTATATTAGATCGTTGACGTTTTAGTTCCATGCTGCAACGCCGATATTCGCGCCGTACATAATAAGCTCGTCAAACAGTCGATGAAGCGAGCTTTCAACTATTCGCGACCACCCATCGTTCTATCAGTTGCTAATACAAACTCGTTGAGCGCAAATACGACAGTTAAACGTAATAAAGCGCGGACGCAACTGCGGACGAAAACAAATTCCGTCCCACAAAGATAAAACAACAGCGCGGCGGCGACAGTTACGGAGAGCCTGATGTGTCGTAATGAAATTCTGGTCGCGACGCGTCGCGCTGTCGTCGCAGTTAACTGAGTAGATAACGCGCGTGATTTAGAGCCGATCACACGAGACGCTTTCATTCACCTTGTAAGACACCATATTACTACGTCCATTACTTTCACAATTTGTCGTACTTAGGGTCGTTTCCGCTCCTTCCGGCGCGCCGGGAGCTGCACGAGCGCGGTCGCGCTCGGAGAAAAACGGTCCGTTCCGGCTGCCAAGCAGAATTTCTGCGTACTGCCATTAACCCTTTCGGAGTAACCAGCACGCTAATAATATCCGCCGCACGGCTAATTAACGAATAATGTAGCGACAAGCGATAATGAAGAAAAGCGATCGATTATGTGTAATAAAGCGAGCAATATTGAACGGCTATTAATCGATCGGAATTTGCCAATTTAATTCCACGATATATTGACTCTGGAGTTCCAATCGTGCTGTACAGGAAGCCGATGAAATTTAACTATGACGGCGAGAAGCGATCTACGATATAAACCAGACTGTATAATTTTACAACGAAACTGGACTGAAAATGTTTGCCGAGTAATGCAATGCCGGGCCCTCTGTTCCCTCAGCGATTTTTACCTGAGGCTCTCGTGGGAACCAGAGTAACCATGATTCGACGATTCGCTCTTATTGAGAGGTTCCTTAAAAAAGAAGAGAGGGAGAGAAGCGAGTGTACAAGGACAAGGAGAAGGTTCAGAAGTTACGAGTCGAAGAAGAGTGCGGCTCCCGCGGCTCGCGATCGCTTAATTCCTCTAAATTGCGTCGAATTGAGGGGAATAATTTTCTCCATTCTTGGCAAGAGGCAATTGAACGGACGGACCGGACCGGACGGCGACATGCAACGCACCCCAGGGTCACACAAAGCCGCACAAAGCCAGCGCAGAGAGACACGCACAGTATACAGGGTGTCTCCAATCGACACACGTTGTATACGGAGAGAAAGAAATCCAAGTTACCGTAACAAATCACACGTCGTTGAATACAAAGGATATCCCAGCGCGATTTTAACACAGCCGGCTAGTTAATTATTTCCAGACTCGATCTCAAAGAGACACACAGCGTGTATCGTTAAAGAACAGGTGCCGTTTATCGGAAACGACCCCGTGTCTATGTTTAAA